GAGTGAGAGATGGTGGGGGGCACGGGGAGGGGGGTAGTATCCCCAGCCACACCCGGGTGGGAAAAGAGGTGGGGAGGGGGCTCCCCTAGGGCAGAGGGGGTCAGAGGAGCCAAAGGGCAATGCAGGACCATGGAAAAGTGCCGCTTGGGGTGGGCTAAGAATCGATTTTAGGCCGGCTCTAGGTGCCACAGGGGTAACACCAGCATGACACGGAGCTTCTGTGCTCCGTTCCCAGGGAGATGGAACCCAGTCTGTGCTGGGGGTCCTGCCCGGGCTCACCTAGGGAGCTGTATCACCAAGGCTAGGCAGAGCCCTGTGCAGGCTAGAGCAGCGAGGGACTGCAGAACCGATCGGCAATGTTCCCTCTAATCTTTGCCACCCATGTGCGGAATAATATCTTATGTACACCCAGGCAGGTGCGAATGTGCACCACCACTAGTACCACAAAACCTAGCTGTGGGCACTCTGCCAATCAGCAGGGCGGCAACAGAGTGTCTCCTGAGCGGCCGCCCAAGCGCCCAGCTTACAGGGAACGCTGCCGGTAGCAGAACCGGCCTGGCTCTCGGCAGGGTGGGGGCTCCCAGCTCTGTGCCAAACCCGCCCTACGCACCCACGCGCTCCCCCTGGCTGGGATTTCCTGAGCACCAGGACTGGCCCAGTGGCACGTCCGTGCTCCCTACAGCTTCCAGCCTCGGTGCAGGGGAGCCTGGCGGAAGGGGGACATGGGGTTCTGGCCCTTTCCAGCCCCAGCTCGCCCCAGACCCTGCCCGCGCGGGAGCAGGCTGGCTTCTCGCTTGTGGCTGTTTTGGCACATTCAGCCTTTTGGAGCACAGGGCCCTCCCAGCTCTGATTTCTGAGGAGCTACGTCCGTGCTCCCTACAGCTTCCAGCCTCGGTGCAGGGGAGCCTGGCGGAAGGGGGACATGGGGTTCTGGCCCTTTCCAGCCCCAGCTCGCCCCAGACCCTGCCCGCGCGGGAGCAGGCTGGCTTCTCGCTTGTGGCTGTTTTGGCACATTCAGCCTTTTGGAGCACAGGGCCCTCCCAGCTCTGATTTCTGAGGAGCTTCCCCCCCGCCTACGGTGACGCTCACTTGTTGGTGTTTGGAGCCAGCAATTTGCTTTCCCCCAGCGGCTCCCACCCCCAGCCCTGGCTCCGGGACTTCTCCTCTGGCCCTTTCGGAGCAGGGCTGAGTCTCGGAAGGCAGTGCCCTGCCG